ATAAGCAGGCAGTCATATCATTAGCTAGAACTAGCTAGATCTGATGGATATAGACCTGGGGCCTAATTCACAAAGGATTTTAGGGCTAAAAGTAGCTCCTAACTGGCGAATTTAGGAGAAACTCCTAAACATAATGGGCATGTCAGTCTTAAATTTAGGACTCCTAATTTTATTCACTAAGAGCAATTCACAAAGTATTTTAGGCCTAAAAGTAGCACCTAAGTCTAGGAGAGCTTAAAAGTCCTCGAGAGGACTCCTAACTCAGTAAGACCTATTCACAAAGAATCTGAAAATGGCTGCGAGACGAAATGTTTTGGAGAAAATGGAAGACTGTGAATTGATCAAGAGATATAGGCTAAATCGTGAGGGTATCAAACTTGTTGTGGAATTAGTGCGGGATGCAATAACATCCCCGACTAACAGGAATAACCCGATTAGTCCGGAAATAAAATGTTTGGCAACACTACGATATTTAGCAACAGGGAAAATGCAACTTTGCAATGCCGACGATTTAGGAATATCGCAACCATCAGTCAGGCGTGCCATAAACCAAACCATCAACGCGCTCTCTAGACCACATATCATCCAACAGTTTATCCGGTTTCCTTTGGACAATCAACAACTACACAGGATCAAAGCCAACTTCATGGCAATGCAGGTATGCCCGGTGTGGTCGGTGCTATTGACGGGACGCACATAAAAATAATTGCGCCATCAAAAGATGAGGACGTGTTCGTCAATAGAAAGAAAGTACATTCCATCAACACGCAGATTGTTTTCATTCATCATGATAGGGGGACTTGAACGGCGGTATGGGCTGTTATTGAAAGTGTTTAAGTGCTGGAAATATGCTCATTGGATAATAGTTGGCAGGGTGCTTTTAATTGCCTCCTTGATTTAATGCAATTTACGTATTTTTATTGTTTGCTCTCTCTCTTTAACGTGCATATACAACGTCATTATCGTGGTCTGCACAAACTTGTCATCATGCGTGTATTCTGCTAACTGCACTGTCCATAACTATTTGATAGGAATACATTTCTAGCCTAGGCTATTTCCTTGTTTTTCGGTGATTTAGTGGGCTCGTTTGTGGGATGTTGCGGATGAGTTTCACCGAGACCGCCTACTCTGAACAACCAATCACCGTACTGACCGCTTCTAAACTCATGCTCGAGAATCGACGTAATCCATAGCAACAGCGCGTCACTCTTAGTGATTTATCCTTAGTATGAGTAGGTCTCAGCGGCTTTGTGAATAACTTTTAAGAAAAAACTCCTACGTAAAATGTTTTAGCGCGAGTTAGGAGCACTCCTAGCGGTAAGATAAAATGCTTTGTGAATACGGCCCCTGTCCATCAGAGTGCTGCTGTGCCTCCTGTCATCATTAATGGACGTCTCTTTAAAATGACCGCTCAGAGAGGAGTTCTCATTTCTCTAACCGCCTGCTGCTTCCACTCCTCTCTCCTCGGTTCCCCTCCTCAGTCCTCCGCTCGCATCTCTTGTGGGCGGCACCAAGTCTCGAGGAGAGGAGTCGACGATAGGAGTCGAGGACGGGAAATTTGAGTATTGAGAAACTTCTATTGAATTTTAATGCTAGGCTATTTTTTCTAAAATGGTGGCTATGGGGTAAAATGAACCATGGGCCTTGGGGTAAGTTGAGCCACTTTTTCAATGGAGAAATTAATGAAAGTAGGCCAGGTTGATAATAAGAGCTCATTGTAGGCTACATTTAAAGTTGAATTTACCCTGTTTTTGATTGGTAAGATGTATGAAATTGTATCACCATTTGTATGATTACTTTTCTTTTTAACATGTTAAAAGTAAATCAATCAATTCAATCGAAATTTATATTAAAAATATTTGAAAAACTAAACTTGTATTTGGTTTGAAATGTATTGTTTATAGTTACCTTTAAGATTTGTTGTAGGTATGCCCAGGTTTGAACAGTGGTTCAATTTACCCCCTGACCTGGATCAACTTACCTGGGGGGCAAGTTGAGCCACAAGACCACTTTTTTTTTTAGAAGTAATCTTTTCACTGCCCTTGATCAAATATTAATTCTTATCATTGCCATTGATAGGAAACATCCTGAATTATAGGTGTGTGTTTTCATTTGTACTATGTGTCATTTCTCATTGTTTAGACGACAGCATAACAAAAAAATGGCTCAACTTACCCCACTCTCCCCTATGTCTAGAATGCCAAATTGAATTATATTTTCTCAACAAATACTGTTTAAGTGTCACATTTTCAACAGTATAATAACACAATTCAGCTACAGATAAGACTTAGCTACTTGCAAAACAATGATTTGTTCCAATCAATATTTCAACAGTAACTGCAATGTTAAATATGAGAGAACACATCCTGTGTTATGCTAGCTAGCATAACAGCTAACGTGACTACAGTATAAGGTCTTCGTGACAACCTCAGTTATTTTACAGTTTCAGTACACGAAAAAAACATATAATGTATGACAAAAATGGGTGAAACAACCTCCCTATAGATACTTTACATGTTAAACTAAGCTAGCTGACAGACAGAAAGCAGCAGACATACATATCTGGTCTTACCTCTGATATGTGGCTTAAAGTCGCACTCGCAGCTTTCTGATATGCTGCAGTAGACTTGCTGATACCAAACACCCAAAACGGGGTTAAAAAGGTATAAAAGCAGCACAGACAGGATGGCCAACATTTTGGCTGCCTGCTGGCAGACAGGAAACCGGAATAGACCTTCTGCTAACGACAACCGGTTAGTTTGGTAGTTTCTTCATTTCGAGGAAGACGTCCAGAAACACGTACCAGAAATGACAGTAACGACTTCATTTCCCAGAAAGCATCTGGAACCGGTCGTATCGTGTGTAGGCCACGTTGGAGGATCACAGTCACAGTCCAGAATGCACAGCAGATAAACACAACATCTGGAAAAATAATCACTATAGGCCTACTTATCATTTTATGTGCAGTCTTTTATTACACAAGTGAAATAACAAATATTATGTAGGCTATGAGATGATGTTGGACATTATGGTAAAAATGTTGAAGCGTTGTTGTAATATCAGATAAGCAATACATAATTAAACCAGAAAATTAGACAGTTATTTTTATAATAAAACTGTAATTTTTTATACAAATAATTCACCCTAAAAATAAAACCTTATCGAAAAAGGTGATTTATACAGTAGGGTGCTATTAATGTAAAAATGATATTTTATGGCGCCATAGTGGTGTTTAGGTCCCATGACATGCTTTTCTGGTTATTACCCGTCCCCCCTGTGTTACCTTGTTATGCATGTAAAGTTATGCGGCAAAGTCACTAACCCTCAAAGTACACCCTGTAGCGAGTACAACTCTAACACAGAAAATACCTGTCTATGCTGCCCCAGAACGCCTCGTTGGAGATTTTTCTTTTTCCATTGTTTTCTCCCTGGGTACAGTGACGTAACGCAGACCAAATGGACCAATCTGCGGAGCTCTGCGCGCGCGCGCACACACACACCTTTTCTCAGCCGCGCTCCGCAGATCTCCGCACGTGCTCAGGCTGCGTTCCGCGGTGTCTCGCAGACCCTACGCAGCAACCAGGAAACAACACCAATAATCCAGCTCACACTGTCCGCTCCTCGAGCCCCACAGGGCGGAGCAGCGAGCCCCGCAACGTCCCGCCAACACGGCACCCAGACCCCACGCAGCATTCTCATCTGTTTGTCCTTACTGGTGTCATTTTCTGGTTGCTAACAAACGCCATTGTAACATATAATCACTGATGTTCCACTGTAACGGTGGTTGACTCATCAGAACAGGGTAGGGCGAGCTGACCAATCAGAGCACAGTGGGCTCAAAGGGAGGGGGGGCAGGAGCTCCAACAAGCCGTTTAGGACGGAGTGAATACACATACTGACTGAGATGCTGTATGAGAAACCAATGTGATTTTGGAACATTGCACAATGTAAATCTATTCTAGTAGACCTCAACAATGGAATTATGATCAGTAGAAATGGCCATGGCATGGGACTTTTAATGAATTTTAATTGGCCAGACTGGAAAAACTGATCTGAAAAACTTGGCCTGATTTTGGAAAGGTTGTTTAGATATATTCCCCTTGTGCTTTATTCCAAATACACACAAAATCTAGCAACAATACAGATGAATTTGCAACCTCAATTTCATCACCTCAAAGAACATTAAAAAACCCACATTTATTCTCACTTGTAACTGATAGACAATGTGACAGTATTAGCCAAACAGTGAGGTAAACATGTTTATTTACATTTCAGATAAATATTAGACATTATTAATAAGGTTATAGACATGATCTGTACCTGTGTACTGTGCGTGTGTGGTTAGAGTCAGTTCAATCACTTCCAATTCATATAGTGGTATTAAGAAGTAAGAGTAATGAGTAAGAAAAGGGAAGTTTAAACAAAAGAGTTGTGAACTGACCCTAGCACTGGTCAAAATACCACTAATCACATCACATTATGTATTTACTTCACATTAGAATATCCTTATGATAAACACATGATGAACATAATATTGAAAATGGAGATAAAATGTTATTCTGTTATTGCGTTGTACAATATGACTCACTTTGTATGGTCTTTTTGTTAAGGAAGGTCCAGCCTTCAGGAAGACATAAAAACATTGCTATACATTAAGCTAACAGACCAAGGCACAGCCTCATTTCAGAAACTATTTACCACGACTTCCTGTTTCTTCTGCAGAAGAAAAGCAAAATAGCTCGACACAGTTGCACATATTTACACTGATATATTCCCTTCACATTTTGGTTCCATACGGGCTAGATGAAGTTCTCTGGCTTTGACATATTGGGACATAGCGTGATGTAAATCAAAATTGGTAAATAAGCTGAATGGTAAATGAGATTAAAGTGATTTTGTAAGAACACAAAGCACTCATCCCGGATAAAACAGTTATTGAAAAACAGGTCTGGGGTCAGCGTGGTCTGACAGGTGGCTCAAGCCTGTTGGACAAGGCAGTCAGCACCTGGTCAAACTTGGCGTATCGCAGAGCTTGGCTCTCCTCGGCTCCCCTGCTCCCCCAAAGCAGCCTCATCTGGAAATCGGTCAGGAAGAGCTCCAGGACCTCCGCCTGACCCTGAAAACCTGCAACCAATCAAGAAAGGGTTACCATCTTCAACTGCAGAGTTCACAATTTGATTTCAATAACTGATTTTCTTAGTTTATAAGTTTTAACCTTATCTAGAAAATAAATACATTATTTTGATACTAAATTCAGGAGAAACACAACTTGGAAACAGACATCTCACTCCTCTGGCTGTGTAAATGTTTAATAAAAAAACTAAACAAAAAAACAGTACCGAGACAAGTTGACTTCAATTCAATTAATTTTGTCATCAGAGTTGACATAATTGTATTATTACGTTAAAAGTGATGTAATTCAGTTAAATAAAAAGTATTAAAGGGGCTTTATTATGCTCACTTTCAGGTTCATATTAATATGTTGTCTCTCCTGTGACATGTCTCCATGCTTCAATGTTCAAAAAGCTCTTTATTTTTCTCATAGTGCGCTGCAGCACCTCTTTTCACCGTCTGTCTGAAACCAGAGCCCAGTCTGCTCTGATTGGTTAGCTGGCCGGCTCTGTTGTGATTGGCCAACCGCGTGTCATGTACAATGTATAAAAGTGCTAACCAATAGAAACTATATATTTTTTGTTATCACCACCATTAGCGACCAAAGTCAGAAAGTTCAAAGTCTTCGCAAAATGTCTGCTATTCAGCAATGTCTTGAATTCTGACAAGTTTTGATCAACAGCGCATCTCTCTCTACTCTCTTACCTTGTAGTTTGCTCTCAGCGTTGGAGCGGTAGACTCCCCCGAGCTGAGCGATGGTCCTCGCCGCCCCCAGGTGGAACATGACCACATCCACCCCGGCTTCCGCCACCTCCCACGGCTCTGTCCCCTCACCCACCGCCATGCTCTTCTCCAGCAGAGAAAGGAGGGGTAGGACGTGGGGGAAGCTGGTGTTGGACAGCGGACAGCTTTCTGGAGGACAGACATACACAGAGTTAACATTGTAACAATCAGGCCACACAAAACATTTGCTGAAAAGAACTAGACTTTGCATTTTTTACTTCAAGGCTGGATTTTCCGGCTGTATCAAAAAGTCTACTGCTGCACATGTGTATTGACAAACACTGGGAAACAAGATCATGTTACTGCTGTATTAGCTGCACTGCACATGCTCCTTATAAAATACAGAATACAATTTCAAATTATTCTCTTAGCCTTCAATGCCCTCCTTTTTGATAAAGTACATCGTTTGGGCTGGCTCAGGCTTACCTTCAACCAGCCCCTAGTAATGCTGTACACACTGTAAAGCCAGATCAGACACATTTGTAATTTGTGACATTTGGGTATATAAATCATATTTCAATGATTGAATAATAGTACGTGTTTTTTGTTAAATGGGACCCCTACCTCTCCCGTCATTCAGACTCTTCATAAAGGGCCTTAGAGTTTTCTCGTAGAGAATAGCGCCCTCTGTGTGTCGCTGCCGTAATGCCGTCCAGGTCTGCTCCAGACGGCACACCTGAGAAACAGAATAACGCCTCCATTAAAACCTGGGATCAGTGCATCCACATGCAGGGGAACCAAAGATTCAAACTGAGGACTGAGAAGTATCAGACTTAAAGGGGACCTATTGTGCTTTTGGGGGGTTTCATCTTTCCTGTGGTGTGTTATAGGTTTGGTCTGCATTTCCCAAAGTTCACACCAGAGGGAGTTTCTCTCCCACACACTCTCCCCCTGCCTGAACAGTTGGATTGTAGTCCTTTGTTTACTTCGGTAACATAATGACATAACCAGTTAACACTTTTGCTTCTATTGGCTAGCGCTCCAACACATTGTACGTGATGGGCTAAGGGGCGGGACACACAGAAACATTCTCTATGTTCCTTTCCTCTCAAGTAGTAGTAGTAGTAGTAGTAATATTAGTAGTAGTAGTAGTAGTAGTAGTAGTAGTAGTAGTAGTCAAAATAATTGAAATGTTTGCCTTTTTTTAACTCTGTGAAAATGAGGTTGATTGACCATAAATGCCAAGAAGATAAGTACAACTTTTGGCAAAGAATTAAAAGGTATAACCCAGATTTGGGTGATTTTATGCTATATTCACTACAAACAGGTCAAACCAGGACAAAAGATGCGAAGGGAAGACAAAAAATTAAGAAAAAGGACAGTTCAATATTGAATATAATTTAGCTCACACTGCTATTTGAATAAAATTAAAAAGAATATCTTACTTCTATAGTGTTTTTATAATAGTATAGTAGTATTTGGTACATAAAATGTGTTTGATGGTTAATCTCAAGGAAAAAAACATTTGAACAGGGATTTGACATGTGATGCTAAGTGTGATTTTAGTGAGAAAGTATAAGAAGGCTTTCAGTATTAAAAAGCATATATTTTCTTTTTTTAGAAATGTTAATTCTGACATGGGATAAGTGTATGTAATTTTGCACAACATTGCTATGTTATCTAAAAAAATGTTTTTTTAAAGGGGGCATCATACAGCTCAGTGCACAATACAAGCTTGATTAAAAACCCCTAATGACATATCCAATTACGGACAGTTACTTCCTCTGCTGCTATAAAGATAAGGGATCGTAGATAGCTAACTTGCCATGAAGGACACTGTCGTGGCTTCCTTCCTTGTTTTTCCATCAAGCCACTAGACGCCTTAAACAGACAGTTCTAACTCGTTTCTTTACTTAAATTACTCACAGTTTGAAGTGTTGCTTGGCCTCCGATGGTTTAGAAGATGTTGCGATGTGTTTGCTCAAAATAAAATAACAAACTTTTGCACATGCAAACAAGAAAAATAGGCCTTTACAATATTCAAAAGAAATAGGCAAAACTGAAATAAAACAAACAACTTGGGTATTCTTTCTTTCGTGATAATGCTTATACTTTACAACTATAAGGGTACTTGTACGGTTTGTATGTACGTGTACGGTACGAGTACGAGTACGGTTAAAAACTGTTCCTTGACGGCGTCTCTCCACAGGTTGCCCATCACTGTGGCGTTAGCACAGGCGCCATGGGAATTGTAGTCCTTTATAGTGCGTTGACTACAGACGTCACAATTAGGTGGCCTTTCTTATCAAATCAAAATACTTGCTCCAACAAGCCGTTTAGGACAGAGAGTACTATACACATACTACACATACTGCACAGAGATGCTGTGTGAGAAACCAATGTGAGTTTGGAACATTGAACAATGTAAATGTATTCTAGTAGACCTCAACAATGGAATTATGATCAGTAGAAATGGCCATGACATGGGACCTTTAAAAAGAATATGACAAATCAACTGTAGAATAAAAACTATAGTGTACTGCATTAAAAGCATACATTAGAAGTTAAGAGTGGGAAGGTGTTTAAATGTTACTCTTTAAAAGCTGTACAAACCCTGTTTAATAAAGATTAGCTGTAAACAACATAAGAGCATTTGACTTCCTCTGCCTGTTTCTATAAGATAATCAACTCAAACATTTGAACCAAAAAGCAGGTTACAGCAAAGTGCATAAAGTTAATTAGCAGTGTGTTTAAGTATAACTGATTTATATGTATTCATACACACAGGGGAAATCTCGAAGTGTGTGACGACGGGTCGATACCCGGAGACGGTAAAGGAGCCGGAGGTCTGCACTCTGAATTCTTCGCTCATCTTAAACGTAACTGGTTGTGGACCAATCATCTTCTCGCTGTGAGGACGGTAAGTGACAGTTTGTTTGTCCGTGTAGATGGAGACAATATTTAATATGGCTTAATCTTTTTGCACTCATTTGTTTTGTTTTTTAGACCCCAAGTGGCTTAGAGGCGAAGGAGAATAAAATCAGACTGAAGAGCCTGCTGAGTAAAAACTCTCTCAGGATCGCACTCAAAGCTGGTGAGCTGCTGCTTTGAGAACAAGTTTTTTAAATTATTTTATTTAAAGGGGTCCTATAAGGTTCATTTTCAGGTTCATGTTTGTATGTAGTGTCTCTACTGTGACATGTCTCCATGCTTTAATGTTCAGAAAGCTCTTTTTTTCCCCTATACTGCCTGTGCTGCAGCACCTCTGTTCACCCTCTGTCTGAAACCAGAGCTCCGATTGGTTAGCTGACCGGCTCTCTTGTGATTAGTCAACCGCTTAGAGATGTCCCGCCCCTTAGCCTATCACGTACAATGTGTTTGAGCGCTTAGCCAATAGAAGCCCCAGAGTTACATTGTGATGTCATTATGTTCCTGAAGTAAACAAAGGAGTCCTATAGAGTGGTGCAGTGACGCGTCCTGAAACCCGGAAGTAAGCTGCGTGTGGGTTCCTTCCGGTTACCTCGACAAAAAAGCAATGCAATTTCTCCATAGGATTTTGGATCATAAATCTAATGGATAGATTTATGATTAGAAAATGATAAAAGTAGGGTAGACATGTGGAGATAGTCCGACTGAACAAAATGTGATCCGTCTCTTAAATGTGTTTCAACCACAGACCTTATTTCCAGCTATTTTCCAAAATCCTATGGAGAAATTGTATTGCTTTTTTGTCGAGGGAACCCATGCGCAGCTTACTTCCGGGTTTTAGGACGCGTCACTGCACCGCTCTTATCAGGCAGGGGGGGGGAGAGAGAAACTCCTTCTGGAGGGGACTTTAACCTTTACAAACCAATAATAATAATAATAATAATAATAATAGGGCCCCTTAACCACTTCCTGTGTCCAAAAAGTACAAGCTTTCACATCCCTGTGTTACAAATGGACTGAACTTGTGAAATTATATAAATAATACATCCTGTTTATTGTTCTATTTTTGAAATGCCTTTATCAGTTTGGATGTTTTGGCATGAATTATATGTTTAGACAAACTTTTTAGGCGTTAATTCTTAGAATAATTATTCAGTTTTGCTTCAAGTTCACTTTCCTACTGTTACAGTATTCCTATTCATGAATAATGTATTTGTATACATCTGTGTTTAACAGCAGGGACTATTAACCCTCGTTATTCGACTGCCAAACGTTCAGTGATAGCAGAAACTATTGAGGTAAGAGTTTAATCCATTTTATTTGCTAATTATCATAAAATGTTCGTATTAACCTTACAAGCTGTTGTTCAATGTTATCTGCCTATTGTGGTATTATCTCCACATGAACCTCTCAAGCTGTTGTGTTTGTCACCAGGTGGATATTGAGCCTGCGTCCAGAAACCAGCAGGTGGTCGGAGGAAAGAAACAGAAGAGGAAGAGAACCAAGAAGGAGGTCGCCAAGCCCCCACGCAAGAAGAAGAAAGGTACAGCAGGAGGATTTAAATTCATACATGTGGCTGATGGACGTTAGACTCGAGACGACTGACAGATTGTGTGTTTTTTCTTAAAGAGCCAAAGAAACGCCTGCCGGCTCACGACGAGGCCGACCACCGAGCTCTGAAGATGATGACGAGGCAGAGAGTGTACTGGTCCGTGCAGGAAGACTCTCTGATGATGCTCTGCAGAGTGGCCTCCAACCTGCTCAACAGCAAGGTACACACACACACACACACACACACACACACACACACACACACACACACACACACACACACACACACACACACACACACACACACACACACACACACACACACACACACACACACACACACACACACACACAATGCAATCAATTTTGTCCAAATAATTTTTTTTTACAAAATTTGAAAGCAATACAAAAAAGGTAAAAAAAAATAGATCAAATTTATGTCTAAAAATATATATTTCAGGTTCATTTGTTTAAATAATAATAAAACACACTTTAAAACACTGTGACCTGAAAAGTAATTACATGTTGAAGACTGTAAACAATACAAACTAATGTTACCTACATTCTGAACACTTGCTTTGATCCCAACCTAACACACACTTTGTGTTTCAGTTGAAGAGGCCGTTCGTACCGTACGTTGTGGTCAGAGACCTGCTTCACGCAGAGTTCGAGATCTCGATGGATAAAACATCCGTCGCTGTCGGACGTCGCACACGATACATCCTCAAAAATCCTCAGACGCTCCTGAACTACAGGTAGGAACACGAGATTGATAAAACACACACATTTATGCATTTATTAAAAACAATCCAGCAGATTTAATAATGAACGCTGTGTTACAGGATCTGTCTGGCTGAGGTGTATCAGGACAAACCTCTGATGAGCCTCCTGGAGGAAAACAAACCTGCCGATCCCAGCATTGTCGAGGTCTGACGCTTATATTTTCCTCTAGTATTTTAATCCGATATAGATGAGAGTAACATATGCGTCACTTCCGGGAAAAAATTACGGCTCCGCCCACTTTGGGGGAAAAACAAAGCTGTCATTTGAATGGCGCAAAATTCAAATTCTGAAGTTTTTGCCGATCCGATCAGAAATGTATTAACGTGGATTTTTGGATCTTCAAAGAGCGGCAAACAATTACATTAAGCCATTGGAAATCGAAGATTGGGCTCGATATATGGTTAAATATAGCAGTAGGCGATCGATGTCCATAGATGAGAGTAACATATGCGTCACTTCAGGGCGAAAATTACCTCCCCGCCCACTTTTGGGGGAAACCAACGCTGTCATTTGAATGGCGATCAAGCCTGAAGCCACAGAGCTCTTCTGTTACTGTCCTTTCTTCTTAGAGGAAGTCCAGAAACACTGAACTCTGGATTTTTTTTAATGTTTGAGGTGCAATAAACGACACGGCAGATTTTTGGCATGATAAAACTATTGTTTTCTGTCTCTCTCATGAGAGTAACAGCCGGCGAAATTACAGCCTCTCCTACTGATTTTAATTGAACCATATATCGAGCCCGATCGTCGATTTCCAATGATTTAATGTAATTGTTTGCCTGACTGGCCATCGTGATCGGGCTCTTTGAAGATCCAAAAATCCACGCTTTTCTTAAATTTCTGAACGGATTGGCAAAAACTTCAGAATTTCAAATTACAGCGTTGTTTTCCCCCAAAAGTGGGCGGGGCCGTGACTTTCGCCTGGAAGTGACGTAGGAGTTACTCTCATCTATGGGTCACTTCCCTGCCAGCATGTTATCTACTTATTCAGTTACTGTATTGCAAAACGACAAAACACAAATGGTAAGGAATGTTTTGGAGTAGTCATAGTATGTTTTATATTTGTGTATATGTTTGCTTGAAAATTGACAAATACTTGTAAAAAAAATGTAGTATTTTCTAATTTATAAAAAAACAACAGTCAAGAAATATTCAAGAATTTTTTTTATATACAAATATATTTTTTTATATATACTGTTTGTCAACCACATTGAACTGAATGTTAAATTGGTTTATAAAAACTATTATTCAGTGTTTTCCCTCAACATATTTCACATTAGAGTTTCTTTGTCATTTAAGTTAATATCCACTTTTTATTATCAGTTTTTATAATTGTATTAACGCAATATTTGAAGATGTGATGTGATTGAATAAATGATCATATTAAATAGACGTGCAGCTTTATGTAATATATCTGTCCGTGTCGTTTCAGGATTGTGCAAAATCGTTCTTGGAGTACGCCCGGCTGCTCCGACAGAAGTTCAGCTCTGTGGTTCTGAGCGCTCGGGAGATGATCATGCCCGACACAAAACGCCAGCTCTTCTCACGGTAAGAGGAGGAGGAGGAGGAGCGTGACATGTTGACATAAATGCAGCAGTGAAGTGTGAGGTTGTAATGTGTGTGTGTGTGTGTGTCTGTGTGTGTGTGTGTGTTACAGATTCAAGGTCTCAGCGATAGAGAGTGGAAAGCGTGTGTCATGGAAAGACAACATCAACTCGTGAGGAGTCAATTACATTTCCTTTTTCTGAATACATTTAAATTGTGTGTTAATTGATTGTGTGTATGTGTGTGTGTCGTTGCAGCAAGAATGATATTCATGCCATAGTGTTACAAAACTTGATCCAAAGCACTCTGGCCATGACCAACAATCAGATGAAGGCGTCCAGATCCTTCCAGGTACGGCCATCTTTAATTGACCTCCTTCATTTACACCGTCACACAAACTGAATCACAATTACAACCAAAATAAACCTTGTTCCAGACATAGAAATACAGAGTTAATGAGTGGTTATACCATTACATGAAACATTCATATAAAAAATAAAGAACTAATAAAATACACTTTGGGTTCAAAGAAAGTCTTAAAAGTTTAAAATTGTTTGATTTTAAGCATTATATTTTCAAAATGTACAAATATGCTTGATTCAAATATAGTTCCCGTTACATACAAGATGTTTTACATAATCTGGTGTTTCCTCTACACCAGTGTTTCTCAAACTTGTTCATACCAAGGACCACTTAACCAATAAAAAAACACTCGTGGACCACCTGACTCCACAAATATCCAAAATCACATCGTTTTTCTAGAACAGATTACAAATCGCCTGAAAATGGTAGAAACAAGTGGCAACATGTGTGACGAAGGTGTTGCGCTGGGCTATATCATGCAATCAAAAGTAGGCTCACTCCATTGCGGAGATGTTCCCGCGAGAGTGCGGAAAACTTAAATGTATTTATTTATTTAAAATGTGAAATGTTACCAATATACTCACGGACCACTAGGGGGCGCTCAAGGACCACCAGTGGTCCTTGATATGAAAAAGTTTGAGAAACACTGCTCTACACAATCAGTTGTGTCAATACAAAATCTAAAATATTTGAAATGAAACAACCCCCCCCTATTTTCTCCTGGAGTCTCGCACCAAAGACAAAACTCACCGAGTGCTTAAAGTGATTCTGTGTATTCAGTGTGTTTGGCTTGCACGTGGGGTATGCTGTTAATGTGCGTAATAGCAATGGTTTAGATGTGGAGATAAAGAGGGGCTGGACCATCTTGATTTAGTTCCGTTTACTCTTTGATCACAAACCCAGAAGACTGTGGAGGAAATTCTTAAGAGAAACTGATAAATGTATCACGGACAAAGTTTGTGTTTTGTTATATTCAATAAAGAAAGTCAAAGTGAAATCAATCCCAAATGTAGGAACAGAGCTACTTCATCCTCAGAGGATAGAGAAGTTCTGCACCCCCAGCTCACTGTCACACTCTACAGTAGAGATTAAAGCCAACTGGTCCCACGCTTAAATTCCCTTAGGCATCATCTTCACATCCCCACCATTAAACCATAAAACCCACCTCGTCCTTAACCATTTGCATATCCCCCTTTCACACTTCCTTTTGCCCTCCTGAAATGTAAACCCTTAACACATGTCTCTGTTAAACACATACAAGACTACAAATACAATGTAACGGTGTAAAAGGCAATCTGAGTATAAGACTATATTTTTTAAATGATTATATGATCATTCGACACGACAAAGACAAGTCTTAACAGGAGGGTCTTGAGATGCTTTTCAAAGGTGTCCCTCGTCCCACTCTATTGCTTTCACAGTTCTACAATGGCAGATACACAACTCACGCTACCCTCTGTTTATCTGTCTTCTCCCTCAGACCTTCCACATGTACAGTAAGTATAACCAGGAGATGCTGTGCCAGGCGTTCATTCAGTGCAGGAAGAGAGGGCTGGTGAACCGGCGCCGCATCAATCAGGCGTTCGGACCGAAGAAGAACCGAGCGCTGCCCATCCTGCCCATGTCCTACCAGCTGTCCCAGTCCTACTACAGGTACACAGCAGCACAACGTTCAACTCCTTCTATCTATCATTTGTATTTCAGTTGATTTCTTAATTTTAAAATGTATGTAATTTTTTGTTTTTTTTCATTTCATTCCATATTTTATTCCTTTTCATTCCATTCTATTTATATGTGAATACTGCTATATTTTAATACATTTTAAATTATTTCTAATATTTTTTATGCTATTTTTTATGTATGCACCACGACATCAAGTCAAATTCCTCATATGTTTACATTTCTGATAATTTAATGAATTGTTTATATTATTTGTCTTCCGGTTTCATCACTGCTTTATATTTTGTTTTGGTAAATTTGTAATTCGACATGTATATTTTCTACTTTTGTTTAATGCCATTTCATTTAGGGCTGCACCATATTGGAAAAGACTGACACTGCGATATGAAAAAATACAGGGATTGAAGAAGAGACCGTTTTTTTGTCCGCAAACCATCCTTTCTTGAACTTGAATGTTATACAATTGGTATTTTTCTAACTATATTTAACCGGATGAAGGATTTTAGTCATGGACGTCTGGATCTTAAGTTTTTGGGGCCAGAAGCTGAACTAGCTCGGTTAGCAGCGCCGAACTGCCCTGGAGAAACACATGAAACGACTTTATTCAGTGTTTCTACCTTTAATCACCGGGTCCGTTTGCTTTGGAGATTTGATTGTGATTGGAGGTTTGCTGTCACTCACTCAAGTACCCCTGATATGAGAGCGCAAGTTCTCCTTTTGTAGCAAGCAGCAAAATAATTGTAACATGACGTGTTTGAGTTAATTTGCCTACTTAATATCGCACGTCCTGCGATGTGAATATCGCGATTATCGTCACAACACGATATATCGTGCAGCCCTAATTTAATTTCTATTGAAATATTTACATTTTGGAAACGTTTATTTCTTTACATTTTGATTGTACAATGCCATGTCTTGTTATGCTGCTGCAACGCAAACATTTCCCAAATTGGGATCAATAAAGTACTTCTTATCTTATGCAACATGTAAAAGTACATGCTGGTTCTTGTGATACGATTGAAACACACATATACATTCCTCTAAAAGCTGTCTTAAGCTTCTGTTGTTGTTTCTGATTTGAGTAACTGTGAATATTTGGCTAAACATTCAGACTTTTTGACCATTCCTCTCTTCCTCCTCCTCCCAGGTGTTTCTCGTGGCGTTTCCCTAACTCGCTGTGCACCGACTCCTTCCGCTTCCTGAGGAGTCTCATCAACAACGGGACGTCAGACGACCAACCCGTCACTGCGTTCTACAATGAGCCCGAGAACAGGGCGGAGAGCGGAGACGTAGTAGCGGAGAAAAGAGCGGCATTGGAGAAGAAGAAAAAACAAAACCAAGGGGAGGAAGAAGGACCAGTGAAGGAACCAGAGAAGGAAACCAGTGACTCTACGAAGGAGGGAGAGAAGGACCAAAGTAAAACGGAAGGAGAAGAGGAGTTAATGGAGGTGAACGAGGAGAAAAACAAAGCAGAGGAACAGAAGAACCAGGAAGACTCGCTCACAGCTGATTCTACTGAAGATCCCTCCAGCAGAGAGCAGACGGACAACCCTCCACCCAGAGAGGAGACTCCAGATGTTTCTGCTCCTCCGATACCTTCAGAGGAGCCTCCAGATGTTGCTGCTCCTCAGATAACTCCAGAGGAGCCTCCAGATGTTGCTGCTCCTCCGATAACTTCCGAGAAGTCTCCAGATGTTTCTGCTGCTGCTTCGATAACTCCAGAGAAGTCTCCAGATGTTTCTGCTGCTTCGATAACTCCAGAGAAGTCTCCAGATGTTTCTGCTGCTTCGATAACTTCCGAGGAGACTCCAGATGTGTCTGCTCCTCCAATAACTCCAGAGAAGTCTCCAGATGTTGCTGCTCCTCCGATAACTCCAGAGAAGTCTCCAGATGTTTCTGCTGCTTCGATAACTTCCGAGGAGCCTCCAGATGTTGCTGCTCCTCCTATAACTCCAGAGGAGCCTGCTGCTTCGATAGCTTCAGAGAAGTCTCCAGATGTTTCTACTCCTCCTATAACTCCAGAGAAGTCTCCAGATGTTTCTGCTGCTCCTCCTATAACTCCCGAGGAGCCTCCAGATGTTGCTGTTCCTCCTATAACTCCAGAGGAGCCTCCAGATGTGTCGGACATGCTGCAGTTCTGCATGGAGTCCCCGGGGGGAGCGAGTGGAGTCTGTCTCAGCCTGATGTCTCTGGGACTGCTGAGTGTCTTCATGTCCATCCCCAAACAGGTGGTGGTGGTGGACAGCAACCTGGTGGACAACGACGTGGTCAAGAGGTGAGGAGTAATCCGTGTGCAAACATTCATTGTATTGTGTTAAGTTTACAGGACATTGTACAGGGTGGGGAGCAATTCAAGAAAAGATATTAAAACACTTGTAATATATACTGTATATGATCATGAACAATCTTAGACAAACAATGTAAACAACTAATGCGTTTCCATAAAGGAGTAGGTACTCTCATTGTTCAAATTCTTATACAAAATATAAACGATTAAATAAATATATGGCATGTCCAAAAAATTAGTAAACACTCCCAATAGAGAAATGTCATCCTAAAAGAAATGTCATTCTCATAAATAATATGCATAAAAAACGTAGATTTAGTTTATGTTAAAGAAGCTGAAGGATTTATTGTACACTTCAATAAATAACCTAATATTATATTATATAATATCCACTAAAGATACTGAAATGATTTGGCACCAAAAATGTAATGTTCCCTTTTTGTCTTTGGCTGGAAGCACAAATCTAAGATATTTCATAATCTGGAGAAATAAATATATAAGAATATATAAATTGACAGTTGTGGAAATGTTGTTACGGTTAAAAATAATAATGTTGAGGTACATTTTTTTTCAGTTTGGTGGCGCTGGAAGAAGAGGACGAAGATGATGATGAGGGTGAGGATTGTGAAGGGAAGAAGAAACTGGAGGTGAAGTCACATCAGGCGTCTCACACCAACTACCTGATGATGCGCGGATACTTCTTTCCTGGCATCGGTAGAGTTTGATTTTTTCACTTTCTTCTTAGATATGTGTTTTCTGCTTTTGGGTTTATTTGTGTCCTTCGTCTCTGCAGGATTTGAAGTCAGTAAAGGTTATTTTTTTAGATACTTCATTTGAATCGTTTGCACCGGATTAAAGAGGGTAAAAAGAAACATTTTTGGTAAAGGCACAGAAGCTTTGGTTTATATTTTATCAAAAGGCCCATATCTAATGACGTTTTAAGAGATATTAGACACTTATTAAAAAACATAATCCCTATTTCTTTGTAATTTAATTCGGTAAATTTGACTTGGATAGAAAAGTAATTAAATACGGTCTTTATTTACAGACAAATTCTCTCTTTTGTGTCTATATATATATTCAAAGCTCAAATGAGAAGTGAAAATGTTTTAATGTCCACTTTGATTTATCAAGAAAGAATGTCAAACAACCTCTTGTTTTATCGACTTAAATGTCAAGTTATTTTTGTATTTCTCTCTTTGATATGGTTGTCAGTGTCTAATCTATATATTACATCTATTTAATTATTCAGAAAAACTTAAATAAAGATGAATCAATAAATAAAATAAAAGTAACATTCTGCCCTTGTAAAAATGTGAATTTGTTTTGTTTGTAGTGAAAATCCGTAACCTGAACACTCTGGATAACATCGTGGTGGAGTCGTGCATCATGAAGCTGCAGCTGCGCAGCACTCCTGCTCACCAGCTGTTCAATACAGAGGGTGAGTATCCACTGTAATGTAACAGAGCTGCTCAATCAATCAAAATATGTGAATGAAGTCTCGTGGTGCTGCAGAGAGTCCCAACCTACTAACTTTTCTACAGACATAAAAAAAAACAGTAAATATTAAACTCAATTCAGGAATGTTAAAATGATCTAATTTATTTACTTTTATTTTATTAATTTTGTATTTGTTTTTTAATAGCTAATTTGAATAATTATTAGGAAATGATCATACACATTTAAAAAAAAAAAAAAAAAAAGATATTGTGAATAATGTCTCGACAAATCATATTGCAATGCAATATCACTCAAAATGATCTCAATTACTTATTTTTTCCAAATCATGCAGCACTACCAAGTAATACACGTACAAACACTGGGTGTTTCTCAATGTCGAGGACGCTTCCTTGATAGCACATGTACCTCCGAGCCACTTGCTTCAGAAGCGAGGCAAGAATCCTTCCTAGCCTCGGAAAACGAAGAATGGTGGAACAGGCTAACAGGTGTGCGTCATATGCGAGGCCCCGCCTTAAATGGAGCGCGATTTCCGCCAAAGATTTTGGAAATTGGTCCGTGCGCAAAGCATTGTGGGGATTTTAAGACCGCGGAGGATACACATGTGCAGCCTCGAAATGTCTCTCTACGTAGGACGCCGGGCTCGGTAGAATTCCAAGGAGCCTGGACATTGGAACAGTCCTTCGGCGGCACTCGATGACGTAGCATCCTTGAAATAGTGGCTCTGGAGCATCCTTCCTTGACATTGAGAAACATCCACAGCTTCATTTGCAAAAAAGTAATTCTTTATTTCCTTTGTCTTCATTTTTAGACTCTCCACCGCTGGACTTGTCTAAATGCGGTCCATCCCTGCTGCCCTCCGTCCTCTCCTCCTCCACCCGCTCTTCCTCCCCCTCTCCCTCCTCCTCTCCCCACAGTGTGAAGGAGTGTGAGAGGCGTTTGGTTGAGCAGAGAGGTTACACTCCTCAGGACGTTAAAGCCTGTGCTCAGCTCAGGAGGAGTCTGGAGGCAGCGAAGGAGAGCGGTTTGGGGGTCCAGGACCTCTACGAGACTCACGCTCAGCTGCAGGAGGCGCAGGGGGGCCGCAGCAGGAGCCTGCAGCGGTACCTGAAGGTAACACGGACAAACAGACGCAGTATATTTGATAGTAGGGCTGCACAATTATTCAATTAAGTCAAAACAGTTGTGAAATATCGTTTCAAATATTTGTGTTGAGAGAAAGTGTAAGCAATAGTACAAACTTCTTTGGGGTGGAAATCATGCTTCCCTTTTTCAACATAGAAGACAAACAGAACAGCCAACAAGAAATAATAAAGAAAAAACATATCATGACAGGAATACCATACTTAATGACATACCTAATCATAGTGGGAAAGAACATACAAAATAGTATATATATATAATACAAACAAATAAATAAACTTAAAGGGTGCAAATGAGCCCAGACTGCCCCCAAATTCTGAAAAATCAAGAAAGAAAATCACATTTGATGTAGATTATTCAAAACAACAAATCATTGTTTTACATACAGTATATATAAATAAGAAATTGGAATTTTATTTTGCCTTAAATTGAAGAAAAATAATTAAATGTTTTATTATATATATATATAGGGCCGGGACTTTAACGCGTTAATTAAGATTAATTAATTACACAANATATATAAGTCGTCATGAACACATCAGGGGCCGTATTCACAAAGGATTTTAGGGCTAAAAGTAGCTCCTAACTGGCGAATTTAGGAGAAACTCCTAAACTGTTTAGGAGTTTCTCCTAAATTCGCCAGTTAGGAGCTACTTTTAGCCCTAAAATCCTTTGTGAATACGGCCCCTGATGTGTTCATGACGACTTATATATTTACTTTTAATTAATTGACAGTGCGGACAATAACAGGCTACAGATGTGGACATATTACACACACACATATTTATATAAATATATACAATTTCAGAATCAAACAAGTATGAGAGCACTCTCATAATGTAACACAATCAGAGACTGGATATATACGTATATATCCCCCCAACCCCTCTCTCTGGTCGCTGAAATCGGGAATTGAAATTACGGGCCAAAAGTTGTACAAGTATTAAAAGTAAGCATAGGACACCAAACCAACTGAGACCCGTCTGTCCGCCGCATCTACGCACTGTAAAACACACACCTACACACTGTACCACACACACACCTACACACTGTACCCACGCACACCTACACACTGTACCACACACACACCTACACACTGTACCACACACACACCTACACACTGTACCACACACACACCTACACACTGTACCACGCACACCTACACACTGTACCACACACTGTACCACACACACACCTACACACTGTACCACACACACCTACTGCTCCTAAAGCATAATCAGGCTACAGCCGTTGTGTATTTTATTATGTGAAGCACTAAATGGTCTTAGAAGAATGTCGACTCTTTGTTTGTAGATATCTACTAAACTACAGCATACAAATACAGAAAGTAATGTAGGCCTGTTATACTGAGTTATATATATTTTACACTGCTCTGCTTTCTGCACGAACCTCACAGCTGTTCTCACTGTAAACATCGCGTTGCGATGAAAGCAGTTACTAAAATAATATCCAAGGGATGCATGCAGAGCCGTCATTGGCTGAGATAAGTCCAGCCGTGCGTCACGCCTCCACCGTTCCCGGAAATGCATCCGTGGAGGAGCCGTGGAGGACCCATCAGTGTCTCCTCGGTTAGAGCTCCTCCAGAGAGCCTCCTCGATGCTCGATGCTCGGTCCTTGAAGTGCATTTAGAGAAANGGGGGGCGGCGCCCCTAGCGCCCCTATGGGCCGGCCGCCACTGCATCAGTGTATCCTCGGTTATAGTTCCTCCAGGGAGTCTCCTCGACGCTCGATCCTCGGTCCTCGATGTGCATTTAGAGAAATTAGATGTCCTTAAAAATGGCGCGCTGAAATTCATTTCCGGGTCACAACCGGAGGACCGAGGAGGGGAAATTTGAGTATTGAAAAACCTCTAGTCTTCTTTAGCTTAATGACTCACATGGTTTAATACGCTGCCAACACATCAACATAATATATGTGTTTAAACCTGGATACTTTTTTTTTGACATGACAGCTAACATCTAGAAATTGTACTTTGACAAACAAAAATGTTTACTTACCAGACCACAATGAGTATATCTCTTTCGCAGGCAATGAGAAATGGGTGGAAATTGCATAATTTCTGGTCACATGATTACAACTATAAGGTTACAGGGGGTGGTTCAACTTACCCACTGGCTCAACTTACCCCCTTCTCTACTACGAAGTCCAATTCAAAGCAACAGATATCCTGAGCTTGAAAATGATCTTTTTGGATTTTGTTTAGAGGGTTATAAGTGACCAAAGTCATGGGACAGAAGCCGTAAGGATCGTCATTTTATTTAACATCATCAGCCATAAGGAATTCCCCCAAAAAGGCAATGTAGTAGTGTGTTCCTGTCTTTAAAGGTATTTTAGCTCCGGATAAAGACAAATAAGTGTTGAGAATACCTTAACCAATAATTTAACAATAACATCAAACAAATCTTTATTCCCTTAATTTCAGATCTGGAGTGGGACCTTTATAAGAATGTTTATGGACAACATCTGGCTCAGGACATAGTGTCAGAGGAGGTGGCGAAGTTTCTTCAGAATAAAAGCCCCGAGCGGCCCCTGGTGCTGTCTTTCCATGGCTCCTCTGGGACGGGGAAGACCATGGTCAGCTCCATGCTGGGAAATCATCTGTACAGCTCTGCGATGAGCAGCCCGTACGTCCATCAGTTTGTTCCCGCGCTGCACTTCCCCTTACCTGACCGAGTCAAGGAATACAGGGTAGGTTAGAGGTCATTAGGCAGTGTTCATCTTTATCTCATCATCATCACCAATCATCATGAGTATAATCAAAGATAAGAAACAATTAGGTGTGTCTTTATTAGTGGTGGGAATTGATTAAAGAATGTAATGGCGTTAATCACAATAGTGATTAATCATGATGAATTGTTTGCAGGAGGAGTTGAAGAGTTGGGTGCAGGGGAACCTGACGGAGTGCGCTCGCTCCGTCTTCTTTTTTGACGAGATGGAGAAGATGCCTCCAGGTCTCATCGATGTTTTGGAGCCTTTCCTTGGTCCCTCCCACGTTGTGTTTCGCACAAACTACCGGAAGGCCATCTACGTCTTCATCGGGTACACACACACACACACACACACACACACACACACACACACACACACACACACACACACACACACACAAACGCACACACTAGTGGTGTAACAGTACACAGAAGTCACTGTTCAAGTTTGTTACAGAAGGAAAAATGAATGCATGAGGATACATTTATTTTAAACAGACAGCTGTTCAAGGTTAAATGTACGGCGGCCGACAGGTGCATGTGTTACTACAGCCAAAAATATAAAAACGTGCCAAAACACATGCAAATGAAAAAATACTATTTTGCTCAAATCTGATAATGATGGACGACAGAAATAAGAGTTCACAGTGACTGAACTGTCACCTCCATGAGAGAGACGAGCTGTTAAAGTGTCCTATGAGTTCCAACAGAAAATAGTTCCCTAATTATAAGATGTGAAAAATGTTTGACTCAGTGTGTTGTGTGTGTATTCCCCGCAGGACCACCGGAGAGGAGGTGATTAACAGAGTGGCTTTAGAGAACCGGCAGGCGGGGCAGGAGAGGGAGGACATCCAGCTGGAACACCTGCAGGAAGCCATCGCACAGGCGGTCTACAACAGCACAACAAGTGAGTGTCCTTTGATATTTAACTTTCAAATATTCAGAGAGGTATACGGACTGAAGAGTTGCTATATGTAAATGTGTATCCTAATAAGAAGCCTTCTCAGTGGAATGCTCAATGTTGGAACCACTGATACCCTTTTTCCAAGAGGCAGTTCTTAACATACTTTGAGTCACAACCCCTTTGTTAGCATTGTAATGGCAACAAGTCCTTACTACCTACTTATACAAAAGCAATTTATGGTGAATAATTAATATTCCATAGGTTTCCCGGTTAATTTCCTGTTACGTCACGCCAAAAATAATACAAGAATCATTTTGTTTGTATCCTCTAAATCTTGCTATCGATTAGTCAGACTGGCTTGGGTTAGCTATGCTAACATCATCCATGGAGGAAGAGCGAAACTTCACATGACACTATCCTTTATTTGAGCTTTTCTCGCTAAATATCCCGTTCATTCTCTTTTACCGAACTGTAAAAATGTTCATTAAAGCGACAAAGGCACTGGTGGACCAGAGTGAGTGACTAGTTTCATGCGGCAGCTGGCGCGAGGACACGCTAAGCTATATGTGGGTTGAGGTTGTAGCCACGTCTCTCTGAAATCAGTATAAATGATTTCTTGCAATTCAATCTACCTTCTTAAGTTTAATAGTACCTTAAGTTTTAGTCTAAGTAGTCTGCCACTTTTGCTATTGTGAGAGATATTCAGTGTGGAGGAGAGAGAATTCCCTCTGGAGGAAAGTTTGGGATTTAGCCTTTGCAGACCATTTACATGCACACAATACCTACAGCATAGGAAGGTGGCCTCTTTAAGTCTATCACAAGTTGAAAAGACTGCTGACCAAACTAGCCCCAGCACAGAACTAGAACGGAATTAATTCCATTGGAAAAGGGCTCTCCTGAACCACTGTCAGTTGAAGCAAACTAAAGTGAGCTTCTCTCTCCAGGCGGCTTCTTCCAGTCCAGGGTGATCCAGCAGAAGCTCATCACCCGCTTCGTCCCCTTCCTGCCGCTGAGCCGACGCCACGTGGAACGCTGTGTCCGCTCGCAGCTCTGCCAGCGGGGCAGCTGCGGCCGCACGGACGTGGTAGAGGCAGTAGGGGGCGACATGCTCTACACCCCCGCCCAGGGACAGTACTTCTCCACCACCGGCTGTAAGGCAGTCCCCGCCAAAATCAACCTCTTTCTGTGAGCCAAGGTGCAATCTGATTGTTGATTTCTAAGGAGTGAAAGGCTTTGAGGGGAGTCAGTGAAGAGGAATAGAGTCTGTCCCTCACATGGCGGTCAGAGCAGCGTCTCCGGAGCAGCGTCGAGGAGTCGCTCAGGGGGATTTAAATCACAGCTTCCTGTATTCAAAGCATGCTAAGGTTCCTAGAAAGCGTCGTTGGTACACGTCAAACTCTGAACATTACAAAACCAGGATTTCTGCCACGCTCTACCTCAAACAATTCCTTTAATTGATGAACTCTAAAGGTGGTCCAGGCTTCAGCTGCAGTTGGGTTAACATCAATTATGTCTTAAAGACTATTTATTCAGTATTTATTTAACTTTGACCAATGTCCTCCTTTCACTTTTATACAGACGCACACATTTCACTCCCACTTCCCCTGCAGGATCCCCCCCGCAGCAGCTGGAGGCTAAGTGCCTTCTGGGAGTTTTACTAAAATTGATCAAAAGGCTCAGAAAAGGGTTGTTAAATTAAAAACTTCTGAATGTTTTAATGTGTTATGGAAAATATATTTTCATGAGCTGAGACAATTTACTACTCTACTACTTTGATTACTACAACTCACTTCGCAACACATGTGAGTAGTGGGATGCAATTCCATGATACAAATTCAAAACCAGAGTTTTAGGCAGAAAATGTTTTAGCTATCATTGGTGCTGAACCAAATGTAATAAATGTTATTAGAAATATACAATAATTATAAGGTTATCCACCAATATATGACCTTAATTAAGAACCCATTATCATTGAAATAGCAGCTTCTTTTTAATAAATGTCATTTAGATCGGATTTCCTCCTTTCCTTTGGAGTGTCATGTCTATTTTGAAAGACATCAACAAGGAGGAAGACATCTAAAGACCTAAGAAGGGCTTTACTTGATATAGTGTTGTTGTGGATGTTGTAGTTTTTAGAGATCATCATTTCTGCCACCAGAGAGCAGTAACGACTTGCTTTTGCCAAGAGTGTGAAGCAGAGTTCACACAAAAATGATGGGTAGTTTAATTAATGTAAAATGTATTTTAAGGATGTTGCCTGTGTGTTTAATCACACTCAAAATGCACTTTACTTCTATGAAGGATACAATGGATCCGACATGGAGCCTGGAAACTCTAACCAGACTCCATGCAAAAATCTGTCGTTTTTCTATTTTACTCTGCCTCTGAAGCCCAGACGGTAAGAGTACACTATTAGTGGAATGTAGTTTCTTTTATTTTTTGTAACCCTGACAATAAATGACATTCTCTCGTTTTAAGTCTCACAATGAGGAGCAGACATTGTTTACAGGGTTGTTACAATGTTAGATGAACACAGTAACCAGTTTCAGCCGCTGAAGTGCCTGGATGCTGGCAACTAAAGCCAAATGCACATTTCTGGTACTATAGTGTAATGAAAAAATAAAATCTCCAAACGCACAACAAAAAATGTTCTGTTTTCTTTCTGACATTCAAAAAACATTTAATACACTGCATGTTTGTCTAATATCATTTTTAGGTAGTCCTACAGTACGGCTGCTGACAGGCCCAAAGCAACTCCATCAGGAGAAACGTGCTGCAGTTTAAAAAATGATGCAAATATAAAAACACAAATGTACCAAAACACATGCAAACGAAAAAACATCTTCACCAACTTGAGAAAACATGCGCAGCGTTTAATGAAAGCACTGCATAAAGGAAACACTGCAAATAAAAAAGAGCTAATACAAATTCTGCAAGAAGCTCAACACGATAGAGACAATATCATTGCAGATCTGCTGTAAGCTAGCTAGCTAAAGTAGTTTGCCGAGTCATTTCTAATAAACTGACAAAACACTTGAAATGATGAAACAGACTAACTGCCGTTTGCACCTGTCGGCCACCGTACTACAGTACCAGAGTGCCTTTCATTTAACAACAAGTTGGTTATATACACAAATCATCTTTTATAAAAACCTCATGCTGATCAAAACAGAAGCTTCTGCATGACTTTTCGTATTTGGTTACAACTTAAAGAGAATATAAGAGAGAGATAAGAAGTACTTAATTGGTCCCAATTTGGGAAATGTTTGCGTTTGCAGCAGCATAAAAAGACAAGGCATTGTACATTAGAGAAATTAAAAGACTAGAAATAAACAATCCAAAATGTAAACATCTCAAATAGAAATACAATTGCATTAAATAAGTAGGAAATATACATGTTGAAATACAAATATACAGTACAAAATATAAAGCAGGATATTATATATAGACGAAGTGTGTAAGGAATCAAATATTGAATTGAAAAGGGACATTAGTGTATGTGTGTATGTTGATGCATGTTGCTCTTCGCCACCTGTCTCTGATGGAGGAGTGGAGCTGCTGTTTGTCACAGCTGAACAGGAAGCAGAGGAAATGTGATCTCTATCCTTCAGCAGGAAATTAATAGTTTCTCCATCGGAAATGAACAGGTGTCAGAGGTCTTTCAGGTGTGTGTGTGTGTGTGTGTGTGTGTGTGTGTGTGTGTGTGTGTGTGTGTGGTGTGTGGTGTGTGTGTGTGTGTGGTGTGTGGTTGTGTGTGTGTTGTGTCGTGTGTGTGTGTGGTTGTGTCGTGTGTGTTGGTCTGTGTGTGTGGTCTGTGCGTTCCTGTGACATTTTAAAGTGGCAAAGGATAAATAGCTGTGTGTGTGTGTGTGTGTGTGTGTGTGTGTGTTGGAGTTTGAATGTATCTTTTCCTATTTACTTGAAATGATGATCACTCAAATGTTTTTAAGATTAAAAATGCATCCTTAAGGTCAAATCCTGCAGGAAAAGGAACACAGGAAGTAAGATGTCTGTCGTGAGGACGTGATTACATTTTTTTTTTATAGAATTGTTTTGAGCCGTTGTAATGTGTTTGCACCTATCGGACACCATTTATAAGTGTTTAGAACAATTCTTCATATAACTACAGAATGTTATATGTTTTTTTGTTTTTACTTTTGGGTTTCCTCCCAATACTTTTTGCATTCCCCTTAAACTTAAGGACACTTGGCGCGTTGTTCACGTTTTATGACGCACTGCCAGAAGACTGCATAATCTACAGAAATCGTATGATGCCTTGTATGCAGGTAACCTGGTGAACATATCATGGTAATATCTGCTTTGCCCATCACTCCTCCTCAATTGGTGTCATCAAACTTTCTGCCACCTTTATGTTCCCCTCTAAAAACACAACTTGTTTTCAGTCGTGATGCCTATTCGCTTTCTGTGTGAAAATATTGAATGATTAAAAGAAAAACAAGGTGTTTCTCACTTTGAACACCTCTTTAGATTACTACCTCACAACAGCCCTGACTTTGTTTCTACGGAAACTCTTCCGACGTCTGAATTTTATCTGGTCACCTGCTGGAGGTGACCATCCCGCCAACATTTCGGAAGCATCTCCTCGTCCTGCGACAGCAAACGTGGCCTCATATATATGCCACATCTCTCCTTGATCCTGCAGTGATGACTTCATTAACCCCCACCAACCACCACGCAGGCTGTGTGAGAAATACGGAGGGGTTCGAAGGTCAGCTCAGAGGCCTCTTCACTCCGGCTGCTGTATCGCCATCTCCATCCTTCTGGACAATGAGACACACACACATACATAATAATGTGGAAATGACCACCACACATACAGTCGGGCCAAAAAGTATTTAGTCAGCCACTAATTGTGCAAGTTCTCCCACTTCAAAAGATGAGAGGCCTGTAATTTTCATCCTAGGTATACCTCAACTATGAGAGACAAAATGAGAAAAAAAAATCCAGAAAATCACATTGTCTGATTTTTAAAGAATTTATTTGCAAATTATGGTGGAAAATAAGTATTTGGTCAATAACAAAAGTTCATCTCAATACTTTGTTATATACCCTTTGTTGGCAATGACAGAGGTCAAACGTTTTCTGTAAGTCTTCACAAGGTTTTCACACACTGTTGCTGGTATTTTGGCCCATTCCTCCATGCAGATCTCCTCTCGAGCAGTGATGTTTTGGGGCTGTCGCTGGGCAACACAGACTTTCAACTCCCTCCAAAGATTTTCTATGGGGTTGAGATCTGGAGACTGGCTAGGCCACTCCAGGACCT